AGAAGCTTTTATTAAGCACCTACTATGTGCCAGGCATTTGTGAAGCCCTTTACTATCTATTATCTCATGTAATTTAGCAAGTGAAAAGAGGAAGGAAAGGCAGTCCCTGCTTAGGGAGCTGTATGAGTGAAGAAATGGGACATTAAAGGATGAAAGTTCCTCAAGAGTCTGGACTTCTCTCCCTAGATAACAGATGTCTCCAAAGCTTGTTGACCAGGAGAGCAACGTGACGGGATCTCATAGCCCCATTGGTTTGGATTTGGAAGTGACCTTCTAGGTCAGGTGTTCTTAAGCTGGAATAGGTGAATTTGTGGGGTCTTTAAAATACTTTGATATTTTTAAATTCCAATATAATTGGTTTCCTTTGTAGGCCTATAAATTTTTTTATGCATTTACAAACATTATTCTGAGAAAGGTCCATGGGCTTCACTAGATAACCAAAAGGCTAAGAATTCCCTGGCCTAGATCATCGAGGAGGAGCTAGGTGGTACCACAGTGTATATCCTGCTGGGCCTGGAGTCAGGAAGAGTCATCTTCTGGCAAGCCACTTAACCCTTTTGCCTCAGTTTCCTCATTTGTAAAATGAGTTGGAGAAGGAAATGGCAAACTACTCCCATATCTTTGCCAAGAAAATCCTAAAATGGGGTCCTGAAGAGCTAGTCATGACTAAACAAAAGATAATCTATTCTTCCCTCTTTGTTTTACAAATGAGGAAAATGAGGCCCAGTGTAGTAGAACAGAAATGGGATTTGAGCTTGGCCCCTTTGACTCCAAATCCATCTGGTTTTCTACTGAAATATGAACCTGGGCAGAGCAAGGTGAAGGATGGAGTGGAGGGGAAAGAGGGTGATATCAGGGAGAACTGGAAGGAGGCCCCTGTCATAGTCTGGGCAGATTTGCTCTCTATGGCCCCATAGGTCAGGATTAGAGCAGTGGGTGGGAGTCCCCGGAAGTTGGATGTCAGCTCCCTGGAAGAAAAGAGCTTTCTCACCATTTGCTGCTGTCCAACAATAGAACTGGCTGAGTTACCGAGTTTTCTGTCACTGAAGGTGTTGATTCTGTAGAGGACGTTGTCCCCGGCTGTCCCCAGTGCCTAGAATGCATTCCCACATCACCGCCACTCAAGGGAACCCAGAGCCATCCCTTCAGGGCTGAGTTCAGCTGACAGCCCCCAGGAGGGCCAGGGCCTGATTAGGCCAGTTATTTGTGCACCCCAGCCCCAGCCCCCACCCCCATCACTGTGTATTTTTGAAATCTGTATCCTGCATTGACTCTGCTGCGAACCAAATGTCTCCCCTCCCGGAGGAGTTAGTATTTTTGCATTTGTATCCCCAGCACCTGGTGCACATTAAGCATAGAACACAATCCCTGCTTCCCAAATACTCCTCACCCTTTTATCTTATATTTTATTTATTTGATTAGTTGGATGTTTATTTGTGTGCAGGTTGTATCACCTAGTAGAATGTAAGTTCCTTAAGGGCAGGGACTGTTTCTGTTTATCTCTTTGGTGCCTAGCCCCGTGCCTCAAACATAATTTGTTCAGTAGCGGGGTTTTTTTTTTCAGTTGTATCCAACTCTTCGTCACCCATTTTGGGGTTTTCTTGGCAAAGACACTGGAGTGGTTTGCCATTTCCTTCTCCAGTTCATTTGACAGAGGAGGAAACCGAGACAAGCAAGGTTAAGTGACTTGCCCACGGTCACACAGGTAATAAGCGTCTGAGGCTGGATTTGAACTCAGATCCTCCCAATTCCAGGGCTGGCACTCTACGAACTATGGCACCACCCAACTGCCCCTCAAGCACAATAAGGTGTTTGTCGAATGAATAAACATTACAGGCATTCAGAGGAGGAGAAGTTGATGGTTCTTGATGAGGTGGCCAGGCAGGTATCACAGAGGGGGTACAGTCTAGGGAGCAGGTTGGGCTTTGAAGGCTAGGTAGAGTTTGGGAGGGCAGAAGAGAGGAGGGAGGAGCTTCTGATAGGAAGAAGAGGCAGAAAAGGAAAACAAAAGCTTTGGGAAGCTGAGTTGTTGGAAATGAAGATGGAGACGTAAGTTTGGGCTAGGTCCTGAAGAGCCTTGAATGCCAAACTAAAGAATATGATCTTGGTCTTATGGGTAATAGTGAGCCAAAGGATGTTGTTGGTCATGGGAGGTGTATGATAAAACATATAACTGACTTTTATATAGTACATTATATAAAGCCCTTTATATACAGGAGCTCACCTGATCTTTCCCATAACCCTGTGGGGGTGCAGCAGGTCACATGCTAGAGTTAGAATCAGAAAGACCTGAGTTTGACTCCTGTCTCATAAACTCACTATCTGAGTGATCCTGGGCAATCATTGACCTCTCTTAGCCTCAGTTTCCTCATCTGTAAAATGGCGATAATAGTGGCATCTACCTCCAGGGGTCTTCATGAGGCTCAGTGCCTGAAGCACCATAATTAGCTGTTATTATTATCCCCATTTTACAGAAGGGGTCCTGAAGAAAGGCAACAGTTTCATTAGGAAGAGCGACGCATTTAGAGTCACAGGACTTAGGGTTTGAATCCTGCCTATTTGCTCCCTGGATGACCCTGGGCAAGTCCCTTTGCCTCTCAGTACCTCAGTTTCCTCATCTGTAAAATGAAGAGGTTAGACCCAGTGGCCTCTAACGTTGCTTCTAGATGGGTGATCTTTTCAAAGAAAAGAAGGAAGGCAGGAGTCAAGGATGGCTTAAGATCACACCTGGGGAACAAGGAGGATGTAGGAAGTCAGCAAGAGGGGTTTGTTTAGGGAGGGGGGGGGACCTCCAGAAAAGCCAACTTCAGTGTTCAGAGGGGCCTTAGCTGTCATTTAATTCAGACTCTCCATTGTGCCAAGGGAGAAACCGAGGCCCAGAGAGGTGGATACACTTCCCAAGGCCACACAGCCTCTCAGTAAAGGAAGTGTGGCCTAGAGCCGAGGTCTTTGACTCCCGGTCAGCACTGTTTCCACCTCAACTCAATACTACTCCCTGAGGAAGAGTTTGGTTTTAGATCATTCTGGGGGGCATTTTCAATCTTGGGCGTAAAACGTTCAGGAATACGGGACTAGAGATGAGGAAGATGGAGTCATCTGTATGGAGGTTGGAACTCTAAGAGACTGATCCTTACACAACAGTTAAAATGTTTGTACTACCATGTCGCTATAGTATATAATACATAATTAGATAATATTATGTACAATTATATATAATGTAATACATATGTATGTACATATACAGTGTATATATGTGTGTGTGCGTGTGCATGCACATGTTACGTTCCCATCTGGGTGCAGCATGCTAACGCTGAGGAAGGGAAAGGACCTTAGAGATCGTCCCTCCAAAGAAACCTCGGTAACTCCATATGGATAGGGGATGAGAGAGAGAGGAGCTGATGAAGGAGGCAGAGAAGGCTTAGTCAGAGAGCTCGGAGGAGAACCAGGACATTGTAGCCAGAGGAGGAGAGAATGTCAGGAAGGAGGCGTTGGTTGATGGCCGCAGCAGATCAATGCCACAGAGGGGCAGAGGATGAAGACTGAGAAAGGACCCTGGCATAAGGAGATGGTTAATGAATGACCTTGGAAAGAGCGGGCTGAGGAAGCCAGACTGCAGGGTAGGGAGTGGCGCAGAGAGGAAGCTATTCTTGACCACAGTGGTGCAGAGATTTCCCCGGTATGGGCAGGGAGGCAGGGGGTGAGAGGAAGGACAGAGGTAGGATGGAATGGGGAGGATGCTGAGCGTGGAAGCGGGTGCTTTGAGGGGTGTGGGGCAGGGGAGGCACGGCCCCGTGTGCTAGAGGCTGAGGGGAGTGGGGGATCTTGGCATGTTCCCTTCAGGAGCCCAGGGAGGACAGCCTGGGGTCCTATGCTTAGGCTATGGCTCCCCTGGGGGGTGGAGGAAGGGAAGCCCTTAGTGGGAAGAAAAGAGTTTCCGTAAACTTTAAGGTGGAATAGGGGGATGCAGATGGGGAAGGAGACCTAGATTTGGAGTTAGAGGGCCTAGGTTCAAATCCTGGCTCTGCCCTTTACTTCACTTGTGGTCTTGGACGAGTCATTTTGCCTGTAACTTCTGGGCCTCAGTTTCCTCAGCTGTAAAATGAGGGAGTTGATGAGGGACTAGATGACCACAAAGGTCTCCTCCATCTCTTATGAACTCAAAATCCTTGGCATCAGGACTGAAGTATTGGTCTTGGAGGCAGGAAAACCTGGGTTCAAATCCCACCCCAGATACTTGCTAGCCCTATGACCTTGAACAAGTCACTATGTCTCAGCCCTCCTCATCTGTAAAATGGGAATAATAATGGCACCTACCTTAACGAGATTACTGTGAGGTAATCTGCAGAAAGTGTTTCACAAGCTTTGAAGGCCTCTAGCGATGTCAACATTTGCTGTATGGACAGAGTGGCCACCCAGCTAGGGGTTTGTCGGGCACTATCCCCAGGAGCCCAGGCCATGGAGCCTCCTCCATTGTCTGGGGGCCCAGAGCGTGGCTGTTTTCTCCCCTTGGAAAGGAGCCTGCAGGGCCCCAGCCCGTTCCTAGGGACAGTCCCAGAAGGAATGCCCCTGTTGGATCTTCCTGGAGCAGGGGGATGGGGGAACCCCTGATTTGCCAGAGGGGGGCACCTCCCGTGGAGGTGAGCCCCAGAAACCCCCATCGCCCTCCACATTCCTTTCCTCCTTCCTTTGAAGGGAGAGTTCACTTCAGGTTGAGATGTGCAAGAACCACTCCACAGGGGAAATGTCAGGCAGGAGCCTTGTGCCTCCGTCAGTCCCGTTTAGAAGGGTAGGGAGAAAGGGAAAAACACGAACTCTGCTAATCCTGGTCTCCTCTCTTCCAGCGTCTCGCCCCGGCTGGCCTAATGCCCTGCACTTGCCTGGCCCTTCCTGGTGGGGCTCCCCAGCGGCCAGCCATGACCTTGCCCTGAGCCAGCCCCGCCCCTGTGGCTGACGGGGCGGGGCTGCTGGGCGGAGGGGCTCCCCTTGGGAGGGTCAGGGTCATGGCCTCTCTAGACCTGCCTTATCGCTGCCCCCGTTGTGGGGAGCACAAGCGTTTCCGGAGTCTGTCCTCCCTCCGAGCTCACCTGGAGTACAGCCACACCTACGAGACCCTCTACATCCTCTCTAAGACCAATAGTATCTGTGACGCAGCCGCCGCCGCGGCCGCTGCCGTCTTCCCTCTGGCACCCGATCCCACCGCCATGTTGGCCGTGCCTGGTGCGCGCCGGGATGTCTTTGAGAGCACATCCTTCCAAGGCAAAGAGCAGGGGGTGGGACCCCCGGCCCAGACCGCCCATCACCTGCACCACCACCACCACCACCCCCCTCTCGCTCGATTCCCAGGAGACCTGGTCCCTGCAGGAGTCTCCTGTGAGGACCTGGGCGAGCCCAGCCTCGTGCCCACCACAACCCGCTATGCCCTGCGGGAGATCGAGATCCCACTGGGTGAACTGTTTGCCCGGAAATCAGTGGCCTCTTCAGCATCATCCACGCCACCCCCTGGCTCTGGCCCGGGCCCTGGCCCCAGCCAAGCCTCGGCCTCCCCAGCCTCTCCATCCCCAGCTGACATGGCCTATGAAGAAGGCCTGGCCCGGCTAAAGATCCGGGCCCTAGAGAAACTGGAAGTGGACAAGCGACTAGAACGTCTGAGTGAGGAGGTGGAGCAGAAGATCGCAGGGCAGGTGGGCCGGCTGCAGGCGGAGCTAGAAAGGAAGGCGGCGGAGCTGGAGAAGGCCCGGCAGGAGAGCGCCCGGCTTGGCCGGGAAAAGGAGGAGCTGGAGGAGCGAGCCACGGAGCTCTCCCGCCAGGTGGACGTCAGCGTGGAGCTGCTGGCCTCGCTGAAGCAGGACCTGGTGCGCAAGGAGCAGGAGCTGACCAGGAAGCAACAGTGAGTGAGCCCAGCCCCGAGCGCTCTAGCGCGCAGGGCCGACAGCATGCAGCCTGCCTCTGGGTGACTGCATGGGCCCCGTGCCTCCTCAGAGATGTGGAGGGGCTCAGAGTGGGGCCGGAGCTAACGAGATTGACAAGTCTGCCCATTGACAGCGTTGTGCCAAGGCTAGGGGCACAGAGAAAGGCAAGAACGGTCCCTGCCCGCACGGACCTCCCAGTCCAATGGGAGCAGGCGACATGCCAACCTCCGGGTACATACGAGATATAAACAGCACGGGTGGAGAAGGCATTAGCAGGCCTCTTGCAGAGCACGGGAGCTGAGAAAGGGTGATGTGCTGGAAAGAGAGCTGGGTTCAAATCCTGCCTCTGACACATTCTGGCTGTGATGTTGATGCTCTCAAGGTGCCAGGCAGTGCCCGTAAGGCCACATGTTGCCACATTTCTCCCTGCCTGGCAGGGAGAAATCCATGGCCTAGACTGAATAGCAAGACTTGCCCCAGGGTTTGAGAAATTGATTTCTCAAGAACAAGATGGGGGAGAAA